ACTACTACTACTACTACTACTACTACTACTACTACTACTACTACTACTACGAACTCCTTGCTTCCTATATGGACTCTGGCCTCATGCTCATCAGCTCATCCCCTCAAAGCCTGGTATCATCCTTCATGGTCCTATGGTCTCATAACACATTATTCAGGGCAGGTGGACCTCATGACTGGTATCTCATATCTTCTTGACCTTGTTGACCTAACATGTGGGTGGGGGGGGCGGTTTATTAATCAGGAGTTGACCTTACAGGAAACCAGGCTTCACCCTTAAAAACTGGTGGTTGATTGATTCCGGAGATGCAATCGGATCCGATCCGTGTGTAAGTAACAGGCCGTCTTCCGGGGATTTGTATGAAGTCATGAGTGGAGCGTGCGAAACCTTCAATCCACGGAGGAAACAAGCGGAAGCGCGAGATTCTTTTTATGGCCAAGTGGCTTCAAAAACCTTGTCCAAGAGCACAACTCCAGAAGGGTAGTTTCTTTGCACCTCTGTGTCTCCAACCGATCGATTTCGCAAACACAGAGACACACACTTGAGAAAGAGCTTGAAAGAGTAAGATTCTGAAGGGATCTCGGTGAACGTTGGCCCTGTACGATTTAGTTGCCACATTACCAGACGTCTAGGGGGCTCTTTCAGACCTGAAACCTTCAAGACGGCCCTGAGGAAGCAAGGCGCGAAAGTCGGCTGAACAGTAGAGTTTAAATCACTGAAAGGCAGGCTGGTCGATGTGGCGTTCCAAATCGATATCACAGATGCAACATCCAGTGTCTTCGTTGGTGCAAGACTGGACGGGCTGCTTGCAAGACTGGACGGGTTGAAGAGATAGAAGTAGTAAGATCCCTAGAAACGGGAGGTGACACACACACACACACTGACACACACTCGCTGTGCAATCGCGCACCAGGCACAGGTGACCGTCCTTAAGGTATCTTTTGCAGAACTCTGCAGTTCTCATTTCTGGGACTCCACTGCTTCTTTTTTCTCTTTGGATTCCGATCACATGCTCAAGCTCGCTTGCGTGAAACGGTTCGGTTGCATGGTCCATCGTTTGTTCCTATAACACAGGTCTATGTGCCAATAAAAATGTCCAGAAAAAACTTGTATGGTTCAAAAAGCAGCGACCAGAAACGCCTTAACTATTTTACAGCTGGGATGCCGGGTTTTGAATTGTCGATGCCGCTTGTGTCGGCTTGTGTGATCGGCAACTGCAACAGAAACACCAATAGAATCTTACAGACTAGTGGTTTATCCCTAACCTGAGGCGTTTGGGACCAAAAGTTATAGAATTTCTAGAATCCATGAAATTTTTGGGGAGCCAGATAAATAGAATGTCACGCAATGCGTGATAGAACCTGGCGATCTTCAGACACAGCTTCGCGAGCGCTTCGCCCAGTCGCCCGTGCCGTTTTGTTTGGCACTCCATGCCTTTGGATTTCCCTTCAAAGGGTCAAGAACATCGGAAAAACGGGACACGGTGTTTTTCTCATGATTCTACATTTGCTAGACTGTCGACATGCACAAATACGTCAACCTTAGTATCAACCACGTGTCACATAGAGCCTTCCCGCAACTGTGGAAGTGTGAAAATCTCATATAACCCCTGGTAGAAACCTTGAGTGTTGCAGGTGATGTCCTTGGTTTAGCAGGAAAAACTGAATTCGGCGTGGCACTGGTCCCAGCTACACTGCTGATCACTGCTGCATTTGTCTCACTGAGACATCGCAGGCGGTGCGCTGCCCAAGCTGACGGTCTTCGTTGAAAACCTTTCCTTGGAAACTTCTTCTGCTGGATAGCAGCTATGTAGCCCAGGTTTCAGGTCAAAAGCACGGAGAAGATATCATAATATGAGAAGATCTATTCTTTGGAAACGCCAGTCCGGTTATGACAGCCTTGTGATGTTCTCAGATGTGCTGTGCATCATTTCCTGCTGGAAAATGGAAAGGACTGGAGCAGCTGCCGCAAATCCCACACCGCTGCATGGAACAGACGAGGAAATGCCATCGTCAGGGTTTCAATGGGTTTCAGTTATATAGTTCGTTCAATTGGTCGACTCCTTTTCTATGCTTCAAGTCTTTGGCTCTCGGCTTAAGGCTTAAGGCTTATTCAGAATGCATAGATTGTGTTCTGTTGACGTTTGGTTCATTTGGGTTCTATAGTTTTCCAAAGAAGAGGATTGCAGGTTTGTGCGAGCCCCTTGTGGTGCATTCTGTATTTCAAGGCATACGTTCTTGAGGAAACAATGAAATGAGTCTATTTGTTCCTGGAATTTACATGGTGAAATCAAGCTGGTCCCTTCACCACTTCAACGGAACCAACGGCCACAGACGTCTCACTCTCAGACGATGCAGTTGGGCAAGTTGGGCGAAATCCCCGGAATTTCCTCGAAGTCACGGTATGAAGTTGTATAGTTCCAGTGTTTTGAACGATGAAGTTATGCTACGATGCTATGCGATCAGCGTGAGCCGTTCCTCAAGTTGCTTGAACCAATTGAGGGGTGTAAACGATGCCCCATCACGGGATTCCCGAAGCTCTCATGCACCACACACAATTTCGTCAGCATTTGCTAGAAACATCTGGGTTGGGAGCCCAAAAGAATTCTGGGCCAAGGCAAGAAAAAGCAGCGAAAAGTGAGGAACATACTCTACGTACTGTACCTGTGCATCTTTGCTTTTAGTGGTTGGTGTATTGCAACCACATCCATACCATGGAGTCCATAATATGGAGGTGTTTATCAGCTACGGGGTTTACTGGAGAGTCGCCTATGACTGTGGAAACGGCTCATGATTCATACTCTGTTTGCTGTTTGCCCTCGTCCTGGGCGCCACGACGTCGCTTAATTTTTATGAAATGACGGTGGCATGTTCGGCAAGATGTTGGCTTGTTGACGCACTGTTTCAGCTAGCACATCTCGGTTTTTGGGCAACACCAAGAAGAAGAGACGAGAGTGTACACTTACTGGGGCCGTTTCAAGGTGTGTTTCTATTGATTGTCATGGTCCCAGTGAAAACAGCAGTGTAAGCATCCGCGTGCAAACAAGTTTCACATGACCAGTCTACTTGATTCAACCAATGACACTCTGTTCGGGTAGCTCATCGGAGAATGGTGTCCCTCACAAGCGTCAACACACGGCCCCAAGGGTGATGTGCCTTGGACACGGCCGGGCTGCCCTGGCTGTGGTGGCTCCTGGTTCCACCTCAAGCGAAGGAAGCGGCGAGGTTTGGCGCGCTCTGGCCTCTGCGGCGGGATCAACATGCTTTCGGAGAAGCTTTTGGGTGTCATGACCCTAGGGCTCCAACTATATCCTCAGAACGTGGTTAGACCCCCCAAACCCACCCCAACCACCTTCTCAGGAGGTGGTTGGAGCACTGGGTGAGAAGCTCTTGGGTTTCTGAAAGAATGACAGGAGCTTCGGGTTTCGCGAGACACACATTTAGTGGCTTTCTACGTCTGTCCGTCCGTCTTCCATTGCAATCCCCCTGTCACTGACATAGTTTGAGTGACTCGGCACGACATGGTGTGACCCTTCGGCACGTGTTCCCAACGTTTTTTGGAAGCTTGTTCTTTGTGTTTGGTCGCAAGACATGTTCGTTGATCCGCCCAGAATGTAAGAGCGCAGTGAGATCCAAAACCCAGTGGAAGGAACCTGTGAGGAAGGTGAGAATCAATTCCCGTAAGCCTGCGTTTGGCAGGCTTGCGATTCCATAGTGCAGTGGCTATGATGTTCTAGTGTCCGGTAGATGGGGAAATGCCAGACCATTCTTTGCACGATGTCAGAAGAAAAGATGAGCTAGAGGCTAGAGGTTTGTTAATTCCTAGTGTTTGAACCAGCAATGCTTAAATTAAACCCAAGAACACCTCCTCACAAGATCGACGACTCTCGCTTTGCTGCTCTCTTCTGGCACGAGTAAACCCCAGAAGGAGCGGCATGTGAAGCTCAGCTCCATGTGATGCATGCCGCCTCGAGTCATGAGCCGTTGTCGGGAAGTCGTGGCCGAGCAAATCGCCTGAATCCCCATATCGGATACCTTTACAAGCATTTAGAACAAGCATCGCTTTACTAGTTCTGTTCTAAAATGTTAGACCTTTACAAGGGCTTTAGTGTGAATCGCTTTACTTGTCAGATTTTACTTAATGTTTGATCAACCATTCTAACAAGGCTGGAACGGACTTCCAGGGGTCTCCAACTCAATTGTCGCGGTTGGAAGAATGTCCTCTCAAACGCACCTCGGCGCGGCTCATGAGTCTTGCTGTTTTGCTGAGCTCTCCTTTTACAGCTGCATGGCAACGACGGCTGATGTACAGCTCTGCACCAAATTGCTGAGTTCTTTCGACATGTTTATAAATTTGTTGATGATCAAGAACGAGAAGATGTGCAAAGGCGTGCGAGTCTGCGGCGTTCGGAAGTGCTCCCCAACACATCCGTCTCCACTTCGCCGATGTTGAAAGACGTATATACTCAAGCGACACCGAGCTCAATGCTGGTTGATGTAGTGAGTACTCTCCCGATGGGCTTCCCATATGTGTGTTTGGTGCCTGGCGCGTGAAACACCCAGACGCGACCCCAGCCTGGTCCCGAAGCCTATCGGGAGAGGGGTCGGGAACGCAGGGATGGATCGCGGACGGAGGGCGGATCCGGTGTTCCACTGGGGCGGTTCGCAGATCAGTGCCCCGAAAAGACCATCTTGGGTGCAGTTGGAAGGTCCATGTTGAATGCCAACGAAGCTACTAGTCACAAGGGCATCGCTACTAACAAGAAAAAGGGGCACTCCACTGGCCTTGCAGCCCAGCCTGGTTCCAGGGTGGCCATCCGTTCGAAAAACACGGTGGGTGGCCAGCTTGTTATAGCTTAAGTTTGGGTTTCTTGATGTTTCTTAGTGATCTTGGGTCTCGACTGAGGCCGCCTCATGTCATCTGGTCATCTCCATGCTTCCTCCTTCGCCTGCGGGGCCCGATGTCGCGCCCAGGAGGTTGGTCGGGCTCTCCCGGTTTCGGGGGGGCCCAAGCACCGGTCGCGCCTCCAAGGCTGCGCTGTCGTTTCGCCACAACCTACAGTTAGGTCCTATAGCTGATGTTTTTTTCTGCAGAAGTTCGTCTCTGGAGTTCTGGCACACAAAGTGGGCAAAAAGGGGATGACACGTCTCCCACTTCTGTCCTATATGCGGCACCCATTCGTTTTGCACGCGCCACGCGCCGCAGACATCCGGTCACGTGACAGCCATGGCCTTCCGCGCCGTGGCCTTCGCATGGCCCCTTGGAGTGCGAACGCGATGAGTGTGGCGAAAGGAAAAATCAAAGGCATTTGGATGGACTCCTACCAGCTAGGACCTCCAACTTGCTGCCTATGGCCTCCAACCTACTAGCTAGCTATGGCCTCCAACCTACTAGCTATGGCCTCCAACCTACTAGCTAT